CATAAAGTTTCTGGCATTGATAAATGTTCATACATTCTCGCATTTGTTCATCATGATCAACAAATGACTTTGACGTTGATAGTTCTAAATGATTTTAACATGTTTAGCTTCTGTACAAAAATAATTCTGACATTCCACTGTTATATATAATTTTATAGTTGATTCTAATACATTTTTTTCTTTTATAATGTAGTTTTTTTAATGGCTCTAATATATTCCATTATTATAGAACAATTTTAAATTAGGATCCGCTCCTCCCCATCTCCTCTCTCCCCGCAACCACCCCGAGCCGCTCCGACCACCCAAACAGCAGCCGCGTTCGCCGTCGCCACCAGCAGCGACCTCCACAGCCGTCGTCACCCCCGACCAGGTCCGCGCCATCAATTAAGTACTAGTATCATAGAGTGTTATCTTTAATTTGGTACAACAATGTCCATTATAGAAGAGTAATTTAATTCGTTTGATTATTTGTTCAATCAACTAAAATAAAGACTTTTAAACTTATGACGATTTAAGAGATATTAAATTAATTAATAAGTTTTCCTATTATACAGATGAGAGAAGTTCCTGATAAGTCATGGATTGATATTCCTATATTGAAAAGAAGAGCAAAAGGTGATACTCGATATCGAGACGGATGGGAAGCATTCCTTGAATATGCATATGCTAATCCGAGGAAGATAGAGAACGATTTGTTGTGTTGTCCATGCAGTAAGTGTAGGAATAGAGGTCTGGTGGATAGAGTTGCTATACGAAGACACCTAGAAAGATGGGGATTTGATGAAAATTATAAATATTGGAGTTTTCACGGAGAAGGTGAAGATATTGAATTAGATGATAGAAATATAGACGATACGCACGCAATGTTCAACGATGTTACGACAGTTGCAGAAGTTGATGAAGTTCCAGAAGTACCAGATGCTGTTGAAGTTCCTGGAGATGCAGATGATGTCCAAAATACCGAGGATGTGCGTGATAGCGGGGCCTACAGAAATTTAGTGAAGATATTGGAAGACAACGAGAAGGATCTGTACGATGGTTGCACTGAGTATAGTAGGTTGTCATTTATTCTTGAACTGATGCGTATTAAGACCCTGAGCGGAATGGCAGATAAATATTTTCAAATGCTTCTTAATTTACTACGCAAGGTAATTCCAGACGGAGAGAATAGCATACCAGAAAAGTGTTATGATGCAAATAAGATTGTTGGTGCTCTGGGTTTAGATTACAATAAGATCGATGCTTGTCCCAATGATTGTGTCCTTTATTATAAGGATAACGAGAAACTTGAGGAATGTCCAAAGTGTGGAGTGTCTCGATGGAGAAAGAATGCATGCACTTCAACACGAAAGTCAGATGAGTCAGTGAATCAGCAGAAGAAAATTCCAGCGAAGGTGCTTCGACATTTTCCCTTAGTGCCTCGGTTACAACGTCTGTATATGACAAAAAATATAGCAAAAGATATGCGGTGGCATAAGGAAAGACGTGTAGATGATGGTAAAGTGAGACATCCAGCAGATGCAAAGGCATGGAAGCATGTGGATCAGACTTTTCCCTCATTTGCCACAGAGTGCAGGAATGTCAGACTTGGGCTATCTAGTGACGGATTCAACCCGTTTGGCATTATGAGTTCGGGATGGTCTACTTGGCCAGTTGTGAATCGGATTAGATTAGCATAAGACCCTAATCACCCCCCCTCTAGGGTCTAACAAGACTTGGTCTATCTAGCGATGGATTCAACTCGTTTGGCATTATGAGTTCGGGATGGTCTACTTGGCCAGTTGTGTTAATGCCCTATAATTTATCACCTGGACTTTGTATGAAGCAATCATATATGATTCTTTCATTATTGATACCAGGCAAACATTCACCCGGTAATGACATAGATGTGTTCATGGAGCCGTTAATTGATGAGTTAAAACGTCTCTGGGATGAAGGGGTCCCAACATATGATGCATTTTCTTGTGAGTCTTTTAATCTCCGTGCTATTCTTATGTGGACGATTAATGATTTTCCAGCTTATGGTAATCTCTCTGGTTGGTCTACGAAAGGGAAATTCGCTTGTCCTGTATGTGGTCCGAACTTCGAAGGCTTTTATTTACAACACAGTCGAAAAATGTGTTATTGGTTTAACAGAAGATGGTTACGAAAAGGACATAAATTCAGGGGCAAAAAATGGGCAAATAAGTTTGATGGCCAAGAAGAGAAAAGAGGGGAGCCGCGTGAAATGACTGGAGATGAGATTGTGAACTTGTTTGAGGGATATCCTAAATTCAAGTTCGGAAAGAACCGATTTACAAAAGAGGAAATTCTCGCTCCGAGACGCACTTCTATCATGAAGAGGGAACCTAAACGAAAGAGGCAAGTGCGGAGTTTGGATGTCACACATGCTGAGACTTTGCCAACAGGATGGACAAAATTTAGTATATTCTTTCAGTTGCCTTACTGGCACAAGCTCAAACTCTGACACAATTTAGATGTAATGCATATTGAAAAGAATATATGTGAGTGAGGAAAAGACGAAAGTACCTCCGAAAGGGTACCGGGGCATTTTGGAGTGGAAGGACAACATTCCTGTTGGGGATTGGGCTGTCAGATTTAATAACTTGATTGGCTGTTTAATAAGAGATCCACGCTCCATTAATATTGCTCATAATTTTGAGGAGAAAGAATTTAAATGCATAAAAAAGATTTGGGAGAAGCTCATGGTAATTATTTAATATACTGCTGCTTATTTTGTTTACAATTCACAATGATTATTCTTATAGTGTAATTTTTTTGCCATGTAACTTGCAGGATCATTATTGTCTTGAAGACAACCCAGAGTCTTGGGATTATGTTATCCCAAAAATGGCCAAGCTTATTCGAGTTTGGAAGAGTGATCTAAAGAAAAGATATTTCACAAATTTATCTACTGATTGGAAGAGGATCTATGAGCTTGATAAGAGAGTTCCTCCATTTAATTGGATGACTCTCATTATCGAGTGGGAGGGTGAGAAGAAGGTAGATTATTTTTAATTTATGACATTATCATCACGTTATTTTTCATTTATATATTATCATCGCACATACTAAAAAATACTTTATTTTGTAGAAAATATGTGAAACGGCATCGGCGAATCGTAGATCAAAGCTATACGATCACTTTTTAGGAGCTACTTCTTATGCTCAGATCGAGCATAAGTATTTGAGCGAAAACCCGGTATGA